TTTTTGATTATTACAGGGGTCAGGAAGTGAGATGCCACCTACTCCAATCTTACTCAGGATGACTTTAGCAAAACAGAGTCTTTTATGGTTCCAGACAAACTCTATGATCGTCTCTTCTAGATCTGTGAAGAATGTCTCTTGTAATTTTATAGGGATTGCAATAAACACATAGATTAATTTGGATAGAATTGTCATTTTGATTGTATTGATTCTGCCAATCTGGGAACATTGGACGTCCTTCCACTTTTTTTTGTGTCCTTTTTGACTTCCTTTTTTACAGTTTTCATAGTTTTCCTTGTAGAGGTATTTGACTTCCTTGGTTAGATTCGAGATGCATTTCTTGGAGGCAGCAGATGGAAGGTTTCTGATTTTTAATCCATTCTGCCAGTCTGTGTCTCTTGATCAAAAAACATAATCCATTAACATTCAATGTTTTTATCAATATTTCTAGACTTGTCTCTACCATTAAGCTGGCCATATACTGGGTTGTTTTTGTTCTATAATTGCTCTCTGTTCTGTCTGTCTTTAGTTTTCTTGGTATAGTACTCCTTCCAGAATTTCTTGAAGAGCAGGTCTGGAGTTGGTAAATTCTTTCAGGCTTTGTTTATCCAAGAACGTTTTATCTTCTTTTCCCATATGAAGGATAATCTTGCCAGGTATAGTATTCTTGGTTGAATTTGTTTTTCATTTAACACTTTGAATACATTTTCCCATTCCTTCCTTGCTTGCATTGTATCTGATGAGAGGTCCTGTGTTAGCCCGATGGGATAGCCTTTGCAAGTGATTTGTCGTTTCTTTCTTGCCAATTTTAGTATCTTCTCTTTGTCTGTGATTTTGGATAATTTAGCTATGATGTGCTATGGAAAGGATCTTCTTTGATTGATTCTACTTGAGTTCTTTGTATTTCTTGGGTCTGGATGTTTGAATGCCTCTATAGACTATTAGTTTCTTCACCTTCTGGTATATCAATTATTTGGATGTTTAAGCGTTTCATGGTATCTAGTATTTCTCATACAGTATCCTCAGTTTTCTTGGCTGTCTTCTAGGTATTTTTTTGTATTTTTTTCTGGGTCATTGGTTTTTTTCCTTCCACTTCTGAGATTCGATCTCCTGCATGGTCTAACCTGCTTTTAATACTTTCAAGGGAGGTTTTGATTTCCTGAATTATAGCTTTCATAGCTAACAGTTCCATTTGATTGGTTTTTGTTTTGTTTTGTTTTTTGGTGTCCAATTCTTTTATATCGTGGAAGGACATCCTCATCTCTTGGAGCTCAATGTCTCTTTCTTCTTGGATCTCATAGAATTTCATTACCATGAATATTGTAAATTCTTTTTCTGACAATTCAGTAATATCCTCTAATGCTTCCCTACTTGGAGATGAATTAAAGTGGTCCCTTGTGAGTGGTATATTACTTAATTCTCTCATCCTTGAAGCTCTTTTCCGATTTTTAGTCATTGGTAATGTATTCACTTTTGGCTAATTTGTTGGAGAAGGATTCTGTAAATGTGAGCTTGTGTGTTTCCCCAACTGTGAAATAATTCAGTGCTATTTTCTCCTTCTACTGTGTCCTCCTGTGGGGATCACAGGAGGAGTATTGAAATCAGATTTATAAAGGAGAGTTCCCCTCTTTTTACAACCAGTACAGTGAGGGGCAAAGAATTCTCTAAAACTCCCACTATTCAGATGTTTAGTTACGATGCACCTAGTCTTCTCTAGGCACTGGGTAAGCGTTCAGTAATAAAATAGGAAAGTAAGGAAAAGGAAAAAGAGAGTAGGAAACAGCAATAGGAAGAAAAGGCAAAGAAAGAAGAAAAAAAAGAAAGCATAGATGGGAAGAAAAACTGAAGAAATAGAAAGAAAAAGAAGGAAAGAATCAGAACGAAAGGTGGAGGGGAAAAAAATACATCACAGAAAATAAAAACGGGTTAGAAAGTTAAACCTGCATGGCACGTGAAGGTACAGGACAGCAGAGATGGACCGGCCTGGATGGATTCTGAGCAGGGTGAAGGGAGAGAGCAAAATTAGCAACTTAAAGCACAGGGAAGTGGACAGAAAAGCTGGGGTTTTTTGTTTTGTTTTCCTTCAAAAAGAGAGATAAAAAAAGTTGGAAGGGACAGAAAAGAGCAAGAGAGAGATGCAAATCTTTTCCTTCCTGGTTAGCACTGGGCTCCATGGGGTGGGAGTGGGGGTGGCCTAGCTGGGGGAGCTTCACAGCTGTGAAGCTGGACCCAGAATGTACAGGACAGCAGAGATGGACCTGCCTGGATGGATTCTGACCTGGCTAGCACTGGGCTCTGCTTGTGTGTGTGTGTGTGTGTGTGTGTGTGTGTGTGTGTGTGTATGTGTCGGGGGAGGAGGGGAGGTGGCCTAGCTGGGGGAGCTTCACAGCTGTGAAGCTGGACCCAGAATGTACAGGACAGCATTGAGAACTTTATATTTTTGTCTGTTTAATGTTTCTTACCTGGCTGACAGGTGGCATAGTGGTTAAGGTGCTGGACTCCTACATGGTAGACCATAGTTCAAGTCCCAGATCTGGCAGCTTGCTTTCTCACTTTCCCTCTCTCTTTCTCTTTCTTTGTCTCTTTCTTGTCAAATTAAATAATAACAGTAATTAATAAAATTAAATAAATATTTCTTTTTAAAAATATTTCTTCCTTTTGCACCTCACACACATCCTCTACCACTCAGTCACTACCACCTACTCCTCTCCCTTACGGTCACTGGTGTCTACACTTGTCCTCTTTACTATCACATCTTTCCATTTCTGCCAGAGAATGCCGATATTTGGTACACACTGAGTAGGGATATGCAGTGGCTATCTTTCAAAGTCTGGTTCATTTCACTCAACATTAAGTCTTCTATATTAATCTACTTTGAATCAAGTGATAGTGTTTCATTGTTTCTTACGGCTAAGTAGTATCCCATAGAATATAAACGCCACAGTTTTTCAGCCTACTCATCAGTTTTTGGACACTTAAACTGGTTCCATGTTTTAGCAATTGTGAATAAAGCCTCATTCTTTAAAAGATAATGCTAAGATAATCAGAAAAAAATTTCAAATTATACATCTACTAAAGGACTTGTACCCAGAATATGCAAAGCTATGTGAAAACTTATTAATTACTCAAAAAGTAGGTGAGAGATTTAAGCAGATATTCACAATAATAATAAGTCATTAGGGAAATACAAGTTAAAACTATAATTATAGGGACCAGCAGTTAGCATAATGGTTATGTCGCTGGACTCCCACGTAGTCGACTGCGGTTTGAGTCCCGGACCCGGTGGCTTAAACTCACGTTGGGCACATGTGCGTGTGTGCCCAAGATCCCAAGAGGATAAAGGAGGAGAAGGGATTGCGGTGTGGCCATCCCCCCCTGGGGGGTGATTTCTTGCTTCCTGTCTCTATGTCTCTCTCTGTCTTTCTGGCAAGCTCACGCGCCCTATAGAAAAAAATCTCTCCAAAAAAACAAACAAACAAAAACAAATAAACAAATAAACAAACAAAAACCCTACAATTATATAAATTTATTTATTTATTATTTTAGAGATTTTTGTTATAGGGTGCATGCACTCGCCAGAGAGAGACATAGAAAATGAGAAATTACCCCCCATGGGAGGATAGCCATGCCACAATCCCTTCTCCTCCATTCTCCTCTCAGGATCTAGGGCATGCATACACATGTGACCAGTGTGAGGTTTAAGCCACTGGGTCCGGGACTCTAACCACAGTCGATTACATGGGAGAACAGCAATGTAACCATTACGCCATCTGTTGGTCCCCAATTATATACTATTTTTAAAAAAGAATTATTAGTTATTTAATTTTATTTGTTATTATTTTTTAAACTTTACCAGAGAAAGAGACAGAAAGGAAAAGGGAAAATGAGAAAGCAAGCCACCAGGTCTGGGACCCAAACCTTGGTTGATCATGTAGGAGTCCAGTGTCTTCAACACTACACCACCTACTAGCCCCACAATTATATACTATTACATAACTAATAGAATAGCTGAAATTAAAACAACTGACAATACCAAGTGTTTGTAAGGATGTGGAGGAAGTAGAACTCCCATACATTACTGGTGGGTAATGTGGTACAATCATATAAAGCGGTACAATCATTTTGGAAAACCTTTTTTTTTTTCTTTAAAAGTTTTGGGGTTAGCAGGTTGTGTAGTGATTAAGGCACTGGATACCCATATGGCCAACCATGGTTTGAATCCTGGACCTGGTGACTTGCTTTCTCACTTTCTCTCTCTCTCTGTCTCTGCCTCTCTGGTGAGCACAAGTTTCCTATAGCAAATTAATAAATAATAATAAAATAATTCTTTAAAAAAGGTTTGACATCACAAACAATGTGATTTAATCATTCCAGCCCTAGATATCACTCAAGAGAAATGAAAGCAGATGTCCATAACTCATACACAAATGTTTATAGCTTCATTTATAATAGCCCGAACCTGGAAAGAACTCAACTGTCCATCAGCAAGTGAATAGATAAATAAATTTTGTTATTTAGTTAGTATACAATAGAATACGACTCAAAAATAAATGAACTATGGATTCATGCTACATGGGTGAATATCAAAACAATTATATGAGTGAAGTAAGCCAGACCAAAAAAAAGTATATACTGTATCATTCTATTTATATACAATTCTGTAAAACTGAAACTATTGCATAGTGACAAATCTGATGAGTAGTTTCTTCGGAATTGAGGAAGGGATTTTTAGGAGGCAGAGGATGTTTACAATGGGGCATAAAGGGAACTTGCAACTGTAATGGATATGCTCATTATCTTAATAATAATAATTTCACAGGTGTGGATGTTGAAACTTTTCAAATGGTCCTCCACATACGTTCAGTTTTTGTATATGAAATGTACATCAAGCTGCTTTAGAATGGACAAAGATAAGAGCCACATAGAATTCTTTAGACTCTGTTTGAAATTGGAACTCCTGGTAGGTGATTTCCTAACGCGTTTACTTCTCATTTTAGCAGAATGAAGATCTGACTCTTTTATTTGACGAAATGGAGCAGGGGCGCAGTGACCTGGAGAAGGTGCAGAACCTTTATTCTGAATCCTTGATCATGGACTGGTGGTACAACGGAGAAAAGGAAGGCGACAAGTGAGCATGCCAAACCACCTGCTTTCCTCACCACGGGAGGCCTCTCCTGTGCTCTGCTCACACTTCTCTCTGAAATGCTTTGTGAGATTTCTCTAAGGAAAATAATCACAAAGTGTGATTAAGTAGGGTTTTTAAAGCAAAGATAATCAGTAATTTAACAACAGTGGGCTTGAAAAAGCTGCCTACGTACCTTTGTATTCTCCGCCAGTCTGGACAGGCTCCTCGGTTAACCAGTGACAGGGCAGAGAGGCATGTCATGTAGTGGAGATATGACCCAGGATGTGGGATCAGGATGTGCAAGGTTTAAATTCAGTCTGTGTGATTTTCATGAGTCCTTTAGCGTATCTCCATACTTCTCCATTGCTTCAGATCTTGGTTTACTCATCTTTAAGATGATGGCTGTGGTGATAGAGTTTGGGTAGATGTTTCAAATTAGTGGGGGTTTTTTTGGAGAGGTTTTCGCTATGGTGCACGTGCGCTCACCAGAAAGACAGAGAAAGACAGAAAGCGAGAAATCACCCCCGAGGGGGGATGGCCACACTGCAATCCCTTCTTCATTCTCCTCTCGGGATCTTGGGCACGCATGCACACGCGCCCAGCCTGAGTTTAAGCCACCAGGTCCAGGACTCTAACCACGGTCGACTACATGGGAATCCAGCAACATAGCCAACTGCTGGTCCCATTCAAATTAATAATTATTAAACAAAACTCAAACCACTCTCAAAATTCAGGAAATTTATTAAATATTATTGAAGTGACTTAATATTGTATAGATACTTAAGTATTGCACAGCCTACCCTGTCAGGAGGATGTAATTTTATTTAAAAGACTGATAGAAAAATGGAAAGAAATTATAAATTATAAATTCATTTATTAATCAGAATTTCTTGTCCATCAAAATTCACTGTCTCTATTAGCTCAGCAAGCATTAATACGGGCTAGGGACAGGGAAAGTACATGGAATCAGTAGAAAGACGTAAATGATATAATGAGGAGTTTTATAATTTTACAGCATTTTAAAAAGTATCCGGGGGGACCAGCAGTTAGCGTAATGGCTATGTCACTGGACTCCCATGTAGCCGACTACGGTTTGAGTCCTGGACCTGGTGGCTTAAACTCACGCCAGGCGCATGTGCATGCGTGCCCAAGATCCTGAGAGGAGAATGGGGGAGAAGGGATTGCAGTGTGGCCGTCCCCCCTGGGGGGTGATTTCTCGCTTTCTATCTCTCTGTCTCTCTCTGTCTTTCTGGAGAGCACACACGCCCTATGGCAAAAACCTCTCAAAAAAGGTATTTGGGGAAATACAGATACATCTTCTAAACTAAGAAAATTAAATTTGTACAAATAAACTAAGAATAAAATAAATAACCAGGAGCTAGGTGTAAATGACTTTTTCCATACTTTCAGTCACTACCTTAATTGCCTTCTCTTGTTCAATCAAATTAAAAATCTCAAACAAAATTATCAGCTGTTGCTTCAAAGTGGGATTGGTTAGTTGACTGTGTCTGCTGTTAGATGGAGTATGGATATAGTCTTACTTTTTACACTTCTTTTTTAGAGAACTTGGGGGAGTAGATTCTGGAGTCAGAGAAGTGTTCTAATATTTCAGCCATTACATTTGAGGTGACTTTGGGCAACTAACTGAACCTCGCTGAGCCCCAGTTTCCTTATTTACAACATGGGAATAATGGTAGTCAAAGGATTGTTGGGTGGATTAAATGAGGACATGCCTGGCACATAATAAAAGCTCTAAATTAATATAAAACAAAGAGTAAAAGGGAACCAGCAGTTAGCGTAATGGCTATGTCGCTGGATTCCCACATAGTCGACCGCGGTTCGTGTCCCGGACCCGGTGGCTTAAAACTCAAGCCGGGCGCGTGTGCGTGCGTGCCCAAGATCCCGAGAGGAGAATGGAGGAGAAGGGATTGCAGCGTGACCATCCCCCCTGGGGGGTGATTTCTTGCTTTCTGTCTCTATGTCTCTCTGTGTCTGTCTGGCGAGCGCACGCGCCCTACAGTGAAAATCTC